TGAGCACGCACCGCCACCGAGATAAATCGTGCTTCGCCAAACCCGACGCTTGTTTACATACCGTTTACGTACCGTTCGAAATTATACGTCTGTTTTCCCATCGATCGCTGCTCGCCACTAACGATCTCTCACCTTTCCACCTTTCCTCGCACCGCGGACGCGTTTCCCTCGTTTCGCCAACGCCAACGACTGCAAACGGCACGGGAGGCATGCTTGCCAACGCTTTGCTCTTCACTCTCCGATCTGAATCCGAAAAAAATCGTGGAAAAAATCTTCCTAAATACCTTAGGAAGATTTACGGTCACTGCTCGTGAGTTTCGAAATCGAAAACGAGAAATCTAATTCGATATATCGGGTTAGATACGATTGACCTTTGGACGACGGGAATTTCTTTCTTGAGAAATCGAAACGACTCGGAATACGTACGATTCGTAAGCTGTTATCTCGGAATTGTCAATTACTCGTTTCATCCCCGATGTATCGAAAACGATTAATCATTGCGATTCACTCTAAAATTCACTCTAAAAAGTGCAAATAAACGAATTCTCTTTTCCTTCCTTATCTTCCTCGATACATACTTTGATTACTTTGATAAGCGGTTTCCAACTATAAATACGTTACGTCATACGTATAAAAGATATATAAATTCACTGTTGATGAATCTATTTATTTACGTCAAAGATACGCGAATAAAATTCTCTTCCTTCCAACTTGTTTCACGAAAACTGTTATTTGCGTAGGATCGCGTAGTTGAAAGACTCGATCTGGCTCCTCTTCTTTTCCCCGTGTCGAATCACCTTGACGACGTCGACGCGTGGTCGACCATTCCGGACGAAACATTTTAATTGGCGGCAATTGTCCGTCCCCGCCTAATTGGCAGCTGTAAATAATCGAGCGTATAATTCTCGGCATAACATCGGCTCGAGAACGCACACGAACCTCCGTGGGCCGAAAATGCGTTAATGATCGATATCGAGAATACGAATGCGCTCGGTCATAAACAAATGGGCCCATCGTGGAACCATCGTGGCCCGAAATCGCCCACGCACCGCTCGTATCGATCTCTTGTTGTTGGCTCGCGTGAATTTTTAAAAGGAGATGGTTGGATCGTTGGGTTGTTGGGGCGACGCGTCCCTGTGGTCGAGGAGAAGGTTCAAGGGTCACTTGGCGAACGATCGTTACGTAATAATCGCTCGTGAAAGTAAATTGCGCGCAACGGTCCTCCGAACACCCACGGAGGAAATTTTGCGACGCATCGATTCGCAGAGAAGTGAGTTCGGTTCGAAACGAGTTTCGCGGGCGTTGAGAAATTCTGAATTCGATCAAATCGTAAGAATTGCAAGATCGACCGACGATGGAAAAGTTGGCGAATACACGAATATATTTAGCTGTTCGCGAAGGACGCGATGCGATATGTTTAACAAGCGCGATAATTGGAACGCTATTTGAAACGTTTTCATTGGAAAAGGTAAATTATTCCGAGAACCATTTTACAAATTCGTTCTACTTACACGTTTAAACACCGACATCGTCCAAGATGAAACCCCTTGCGCTGCACCGATTACTTTGAAAGCCGTTTCGCAATTTGGATCGCGAGGTCATTGTCTCAACCGCGAATCAAAGATCGGGATAAACTCGGGAGAGAACGTTTGACGAAACTGGTTGCTATGCGGCTTACCATTTCTACGTGTACTTACGTATCTATACGTGCGCTCGCTGCGTACCTGACTCACAAACCCTCGCAACGTACGAGTGTTTCGCACGCGTGCACGCCAATTTAGAATGTTGCTCTTAAGTGTTTTAATGCGTCGCGAATGAATCACGAGATATATAGAGGATGGTTTCACTTTTCCAGTTTTTCTAAACGTTTTATTCTTCCATTCCAAGTGTTATTTTTTTCGAGAGAAAAAGTATCGAATTACGAGAGAAATTTAATCAATATATTTATATTTGGAAATATATATTAGAGTGCAAAAATATCTTAATATATCATTTATATTATATTTTGATTTCGATTTATCGAGAGAGGCATTCTTTGACAATTCGATCAGTCTACCATTCTTTTCTTCGATTCGTTTTCTTCGTACAAAAATATTTCTTGTCCGACGATCAATTTTACGTATCTTCGATTCGATGCGCAAAAGAAAAACAGGCATGCATGTAAAATATTGGCGCGCGTTCCTGCCATTAAAAGAATATGGGAAAGGATTGATGCCTTTTAAGGGACGATATAATTTATAAATCGTAAAGGTATATTTAAATTTTAACCATTATAATCATTGGAGTGATTTATTTATTTATTTATTTTTTCGCTTCAGTGGAATAAACTCCGTAATGAAATCTTGGTGGCGAATCAATCGATAAACGCATTAAACCTTGGATCGAATTCTTGGATGCGTACCTGCCACATTCTTCCTTTGTCTTCGCGAGACGAAGCAATTTATCGTAATAGTTCTATACAAATTGTCTCGTCGTATCTCAATAAATAAATTTTGCTCGTGCTCTGTTTCGAAATTGTTTTAAACGGATCCGATCATCGTCCATGACCATGTAAAATCGTTGAATCGATGGAACAAGGGTGTAATTTTCATTGGACGTAACCTTGCCGTTGAACAAAGTCATCTAATGACCGCCTCTTCGAACCACTTGCCGCCATTTACAGAATGGAAAACTTCATTTGTCTTCGCGCGTTAGTCGTTGGTCCCCCTTCCAAGTTGATGACGCATCAAAGAACTTGTGCACGCGTCGTACGTGAATATTGCTACGAGTCGAAAGGCGTTGGGGAAAGAAGTTGCATCGACGATAATTATGGGGATGAAAGCAGGTGTTTCTAAGATTGCAACATGGCGGAGAAACCTAAACGATATTTCTATGCGCTTGAATAAATTATAGTGCGTGCCACGATATCATCGAGTCCGATGAATATACACTTGTGGCATACGAAAGTATATCGATGCTTTAAACTATAAAAATATGCGTGTTAGATTTGCGTTTTGAAGATAATTTTATGACTGTTATAAAACACGTACACGAGGATAATGTATGTAAAATTTGGAGCGAGTCCGATAATTTTCGTACATACTTATAAAATATTCAAAATTGAGATAAAAGAAGCTTACAAAAATATTGGAACGATGGTGATTAGTTCGTATCGAGTCTATACGATTTAATCGTGTCTTTAGATTATCGTAAACTTTTTGTATCGAAATATATTGGAAAAGTTACAACATTTACAATTACTGTCACGTGTAACACGATTAACGACATGCTGTCAATATTTTTACAATATGAATATTAATATTTAGATATGCCTCTTTTTAATTTCAATTGCGATTCTTACATATTATATTTGATTCGAAAATTTCGTTTAAAACTATATCGTTTCCATCCATTTATGCAATCGTTACGTGTTTCCCGACGTTACGATTATAATTTTTAAAGTTTTCTTTATATGTATAAGTTAAAGTGAATTTTTCTAGTAAGTTATTAATAACGAGGAAAGTGGTAAAATTTATGATGAAAGTTCGCAATCTTGGTTTTGCATTTCTCAACGAGGAGAGAACTAGTTACAATGTTCCGAGAATAAGACCAGTTCTGACAATTCCACGTTTCCTGTGTTAACTTCCTTTTCATTACACTTATTAAACGCAACTACGTTCCCGCTCTGCTCGAACGTAATCATCATTTCCACGCTTCGTTATCGTATCGTATTTATTATATAATATAAATCGTTACATAAGAAAATTGAAGCAGCGTGAGTTAAGTAAAATAACGAGTATAAAAATGATTGTTGAACGTAATAAGTTTGACAGAAATTAAAGTCATCTAATCAAAACTATATTCCGTGAAAGTGAACGAGTTTCAATGAACGAGTCGTAACGAACGGATTTATTTGATTGAAAAATGACAATGTTATTTCATCCGTTAAAATTGTAATGGTAGAAAATTCCGAATATTTATAATAATTATTAACGCGTAAATTTATTTATATATGAGAAGTTTAAATTAATTTAAATATTTTTTATTTTAATTTCGATTCAGAATTTTATCTAGGAGAAGAAAGTTACGGTAATGAATTTTTCATTAAAACTATTTTCAAAAATAAATTCGAGCGGATTTACGATCTTTATTCCGACCGCGACCGTGACGTCTCCATTTTGCCACCACTTTCCCTTTTCCCAATAATCAGATATGCATATCGTACATCCGCCTATTCTTCCATATAATCCACGCATCGAGAGATTCTCTTCGCGAGGAAAAGAGATTACGCGCGTGTTTTGTGAAATTCTTAACGATTTTGCTCATTTTCGTTATTAATTCAACATATAGGAACAATTGTAATTATATTAATAATGATTGAAATTAAAACTTAATTTTATTATATAAAATTAAATAACACATAAATTAAAATATTTTATGATAAAGAGTAGAAATCTATATTTGTCGATTTGATCATTTTCGTATAGACTAGACACATAGATAGGTAAATGATATGAGACAGTTGATTGGTACGGTAATTCTGAGTACAATAAGTCTTAACTTTTTCCAGTTATTGCATCCTTAACCTATTATTATTTTCAAAGCAATTAATGCAACGGATTTTATTTTTTTTTCTTTTCTCTCGTGAAAAGAATAATAAATAAATAATTATCTTTTAACGCAAAAGTTTTTTTTCAAATTTGATCAATTTTTTTTTTTAAACGTTTCAAATGTTCATGTTTTATTTCAATTATTTTTCAGTATTATTTCAATCTTTCTAATTTGAATAATTTTTATATTAAATTAATTGTAATAATCTATCCTATAATATTTTTAATCAGAATATTTTTGTAATAAATCGGTATATAAGAATCTACAGTTAAAATGTGATATATTTTATTTTAATTTTTGCGCGGATAAAATAAAGAATTATACCGTTCGAGCCAATCAGAAAATAGCTAGAGTCTAACGTCGAGACGAATCAGTGCGCATCACAGTGCGCATGTCATCAGTCTACAGTTGAAAATCGTGGTGATAGGTCACGTTTCACCGGCTGAGGTGCGTAATTACGGTGAAATTTATATTGTATTACGGTTATTAAGCTTACATTATAGATTATTAAAACTTGTTTTATTAATACATGTTTGTTTAATCATTATTATACTAGAATGAACATCTTTGTGAGAAATTATCATTTGATCGTAAGCAGAATGGCTTCGAAAGTGTAGTTTCTACGCATACCATGGCAATTGAGAGATAATTCGACAACTTTGACACAGATATGGTAAGATTTCATTTATTGTAATAAAAACGTAATTACTATAAATTTCCTTTATCTCTTTTTACGCGCTTAATGTAAAAGTAGCTGGATTAATACAATCTATTCACATGTATCGTATTTCATACATATTTTCATATACATACATTTCTTTCCTAAATGCGTCATTCGTACGTTCAACTTGTACGTTATTATTTCTACATTTGTTTTGATTTTACACTCGAAGTCCAAGGAACTGGAAAACATTCCTTATAGCTTTTTCGAGAAATTGACGGTTGGCGTTGGTTCGTGCCACGCTCGACTTGCCGTATCGTTGACTATTCCCCCACTCCACTTTGTAATTCGATACGTTGAGTGTCATTTCGTTTTCGAAGTTTGCGACGATTAAACGTTTGTATTATGCGTGAGTTACATATTACACAATACGTTTTTACATTATTTAACATTATTTTTTTATTTTTTGTATTATCAATACGTATTTATTCGATCATTTAATTGAATATTATTATAATTGATAATTCTTTCTTAAGAATAATTTTTTTTTATCCGTCTATTTGATTATTAAAGTCGTTCGTTATTAATTCGTTTTATAAGTTTCTAAAATAGGATTTGATTTTAATTATTTATTGTTTCTGTCAATAGAACGATAATACATCACGTCAAGAGTAATTTTTTTTTCTACTTAAATTTTTATACAAAGATTTCAACTTTTATTATTTTTCTATTTTATTAGAATTTCATTCTTTATCATTTTATATTTATAAATTGTAAAAAGTTGTATTTTTTCGTTACAGATATTTTCCATTTCCTGAATGGATCACGACAACATCAATGGCAATACAGATTCTTCGCATCTAATGGTGAGTTGCATATATTTAGTTTCTCCGATCGCTCGATAATTTTAATTAGAATATATTTAACATAGATATTTGAAAAACGTCAAATATATATATATATATATATATATATATATTTTATAAGAAATAATGTGGGTTAATTGACTGCGAATGCATTTATATTTTTCATACGTAGAAAATTTAGATATAAATAATGGATAACGTTTTCGTTTCAATTTTTAAAATTGTGAAAGCATAAATTTTTTTTTTTATATTTTTGTTACTTTTTGAGTGATTTAATTTCACATACTTTAATCGATAATAATATGAAATATATAAGAAATATTCCGATCCTTTTTGAGATTGCTATTTCAAAACACATCTGTTCTATTTTTTCTCGTCGTCGGTTTACTCGTGAAATTGGAATCGTACGTGTGATCGATGCGAGTAATCGTATAGATAGTTTAATTAACGATCTTTGAATCGAGATTCGATGGGGAAATTGATTTGAAAAGAGGGAGAGAATCGCGTGGAATAAAAATTGCGTAAAGAATGATCGATATATCGATCTCTCGATGATTGAAAAAGGATAAGAAATTATCAAAGATAATTCGGAATGGAATTATCACGTCTATTGAAAAATATAGTTGGGGAGGGAAGAGAAACTGGATTTGATGTGAGAATGAAAATTAAATGCATTCATCGATCGAGCATTCTCACGAAGATAGCCGCGTTGGAGTATTAACTTTCGTTGGAAGCACCGCAGGATCAGAGGCCAACCGGACAGGCTGGCACACAAAATACCACCTTGGAAGGTTTAACGATCGTGTTTCTCCGGGACCGGCCTTGGAAGCTGTTCCATTCGTATTCGCGGCACTTACGTAATCGCTCAACAACGATCGGTAGGAGCCACCCCGATAGCCACGCGATCTTTTCTTTCTTAGTGAAAAAGATGAGAAAAGAGAGAGACGAGGAATCAAGGTGAATTTGAAATGTCACCAACCAGCTAGATTCGATCTCCGCTACATACGTATATTAAATCAATTTCCCTAATCGTTTCGAGTATGTTGACCAATTCAATTAAAATCTCGTGCGAGATAGATATTAATGCGAATAATCAAGTATTAACGAGCGAGCATATTTTAGAGAAAAAGATATTAAATATCAAGGAATATCGTTCGAATCGAGGGGATTAAACGAATAAGATGGATGCATTCGTCGTATTCCGTATATTCCATCGAGGCCAGCTGTTGGAGGTTCGTCCCCTCTGCGATCCGATAAATTGGAATGTCCGCTGACCAGTTATATCCAGACAATGATACCACGGCATTGAACATCAACGGCCGCGATGTACGAATTGACGAACGTCACAAAGTAACCGGTCGCAATCGGAGAAAAAATTTTTCTCGGAGAAGAACAACTCGATTCGTTAATGAAATATACAACAACGAATGAATCTAAAATTCGTGCGTTCGTACTGTGGAAGCAATTAAGGGGAAAAATTTCTAAATTTCCATCCGATCGTTTCCAAGGGAGATTGTCCCCGAAACGAACGATTCTTTTGACGCACCACGTCTCGCGAAAACAGATATAAAATTGCTCCGACCCATGAGGCGACGTACCGTTCCGAGTTCGCCATACCGGAATCACGCTTCTCTTCCAGCCTCGTACATTCTTCGCCGCCATATTTACGTCCACCGTGTGTCGCACGGTTGGACGTCGCGAACCGAGTCCCGCGGTAGGAGAAGTGCGGGGTGACCGTGAGATCGATCCACGCCGTGACCCAACAGCGTGGACGATCCTTCTCGCGTTCGAAGCGCGTGGCGAGCGGAACGTAACGAGAATCGACACGGGAATCGTCCGTGTCCTACAAGCCAGATGGATATGACCGATAACGTGACGCTCGCGCTTCTGACATGCATTTGGGACGTGGACGTGTAGGTGATTCTGCCCGATGTATCGCCGCTCTCCACTCTTTCAACGATCGTTCCGTATAATGTTAAATAACGGTACGAACGCGATTGTGTGTCGGCCGAACGCGACCATGTACAAATAACGATGATACGCCGATACCGTGAACCACCGACCAGGACCCCTCGTGTTCTCTCGTATCTGCGCCCATTTGCATGAACAGTTGCTCTCGTGCTGTTTCGTTTCTCTTATTTACAGCTGCCTATTTTTTCTTCCCCCTCTTCTTCTTTCTCTTTTATCCGTCCATTCGAATCTCGCGAAAGATCATTTATTTCTTACGCATCGAAACTGTATAATCTTAACAATTGTTTCTATACGTGAATACGTCAAATTTCCTTTTTTCCATGTTATCTCAACATTGTTCGCGGGTTTGGAAGGGGGACGAAGTCGAGAACGCTTACGATCGTCGATGAATAAGGAGATGTCGCGCGATAATCCGTGAAAAACGAATATCGAGAATTATTTGTCGCGGGATGAGGGGAGGGGGGAAAGGAAAGGTACGCGCGTGCGTGTGGGAAATACATACGCGGAAGACATTCCATCGGACGAGAAGTGGGGAAAAAAGTCGAGTTAATCCTCTAATTATGAGTCAGATTCGCGGGACACGTTTCGCAGAAAACGATAGCGACGTCCGGGAAATTTGCAAATCCCGGCGTGTGGGACGAGCAACGCTCGTAAGGTTCGCGCGTTTATCTTTTGAAGCGTGGTGCCGGTATCGTCGCCCGCGACCGCCACTTTTCGCCACTCAAGTTTACGAACGTATGCCGCGGCCGTTGACTCCTCTCGCCGATTTACTCTCGACGAGACGAGAGAGAGAGGAGGCACTCGCGCCGATCCGCGTTACGAGGACTCGCGTAATTGCTGACGGTTGCTAATACGTCCTGTTGGGAGAGAGGAAAAACCAGATTCGCAACTCTGAAAGCGCGTCCGGTCGTTTGAATCCACGCCGTCCCTCCATTTAACATCTTGGCTAATTTCGCGAAAATTGAACTTTCAATTTGCACTCGTTACCATCGTTTTTTCCTTTTCCTCTTCTCATTTCGTTACCGAGCGAACGATACTTTATCGCGGTACCGATTATCTCGGACGGTTATCTTGGAAAGAAAGAAAAAAAGGAAAAAAAAAAAAAAAATTGCCGAGGAACGAGATTCGGAATAAAGCGAAATGGAGTCGTAAGTAAATGAAGGATAAAAAGAAATTGGAACGAAGCGACGAAAAGGTTGATTTTATATAAGGGGAAAACACTGGTATCTCGTTGACACACGATAGGTAGGATATTTGGCTTTAAAACCGAATTCAACGTGGGTGTCCGTGAACTCGCGGTTTGGCCGGAGTATTAATCAAACGCGAACGATTATAAAGCTGGTTCGATCGACGCGAATATACTACGTTGGCCGGGGATGACGTCAGCCGAGCGGCGAGCACTTGAGCTCGATATACCCGGTTGCTCGCGCAAGAAACGTTTGTTTTTGCCAACGTCCACCGCGAGAAAGGGAGAGAACACGAGAGAAAGAGATAATTTTAGCTTTAGCCAGGAATTACGCCACGATACAGGTTTTAAACGCGTATAATTTATTCCGCGTGGCGACGGCGCGTGTCTCGTGCGCGCACACGGATCGGCCGGTCTCTGAACGACGACGAGGGGGGAAAAAATGGGCGAGCAACGAGGCTGGCGTGTACACGCGCATACCGCTTGCTCGTACCCGTGATATCGCGTCGCGCGAGGAAACGATCGACGCCGTCGCAATCGAATTTCGAGAAAGAGAAATTTCGAACGCGTATTCGATATCGATGGTGATCGAACGATCGTTTCCTATATTTCCGCTCTTTCTTTCTTTCCTTCTATTCGATGCAAACGAATACGTAACGAGTATGCATACGTTGGTAAATTTTGACGCGAAACGAAGAAATTTGGTCGATTATCGTCGATCATCGCGAACGATAGATAATCGTTGGCTAATTCATTCGTGTACGTATACCGCGGATTAGGTTGTCGCGTTGTCGCGCAACGCGTTCCAGAACGGCTAAGCCCTCGAGAGACGCTCGCTAACTAGATCCGAGAGTGCATGGCTTCGCTGCTCCGTGTCGTCGAAAGGGGTTGCAAGTGCGCCGATACCGTACTAGTGACGATAACACTCGTTTACACGTTTCTTTTATTCGATAGTTGAGCGGCCCGTCAACGATGGACAACGAGGTCACTGTCAGCCCGACCACGCTTTATGCCACGCGTATGCTTGCGTTTCTCGAAACGTACGATGCATCGATGAAACGAGACGATTTCCTAATCCGTCCATTGTTCCGATCTATCGATCACGGACAACGATATTGCGATCGAATTGGATCTCTCTCTCGTTCAATTCGAGATTATTTCGAAATTGTGAACGATAGGGTAGCCATTTCAACGCTCGATAGAAGCGAAAATAGCTGAAGATCGGAAGAGAAGCAGTTGAACGTAACCTCCCGCGAGTCGGCCGATAACATCATGTCACTTGAAAACAACCTCGTCCGGATCTACATTATCCGCCCAGCGTTTAATTGCGACCATGACAACGTACTCGAACGATTCACTCGCGCGTATCACCGAGTTTCACGAATTCATTCCGGTAAATCTATTCACCAGACTCGCAATAAATCATGGATAAATCGGTTCGCGAGGCGAGCAGCCCGACAAAGAAGAGTTTTGGAAAAAGTTTTCGGCCATTCTCGTTCTCGTACGTGCGAATGTTGGTCGGAAATCGGGAGTGAAGGGGGAACAGGAAGGCACGCGCGCGTCAGAATGTCCGCGGATGACGCGAGGAGACACGCGTGCGCGCGCGCAATGTTGCACACGTTCACAGAACGGAACTGTCGGACAGGTTACCCGGTTATAGCAACGCGCTGCTACCACGCTCGGCAATCGCGAGATTACGATGGAGGGAGCGCACCCTATTCCCCCCCTCCTCCCCCCTTTCCCTTCACAGCCTACTCGCACACCGCTTGGGTAAATCGGCGTATAGAGATAGTTGCACGCGTCTCGGTTGCAGATGCATCCTCGAGTGGAGAGGAAACGAGAA